CCCCCCCCCCCCTCTTATAAAAACCCTCGAATATATTCGAGTTGCTGTCTCCATAAGTCATTGCAGACAAAATTCTGAAGTAAAATTCAACCACTGCTGGCTCAGTTTTGCACTTCGTTCCCACATCCATTCCTTCAGTTTTGATTCATTTTTCTTGACCTCAGTTCTGTGAACATCATTAGATTTAGTGCAACTAATCATAACATATAAATCTGGGTCATCAGAGAGGCAACATTGCTTACTGGGTATGTACCACCAGCAGGGTGGAGTGATAACACCACATACTAGTACATGTAGGTATAAAATTAAGAATTTATTCACCACAGACACAGAGCAATAGTTGCGACATATGTACATTGTACATGAACCTGGTCAAATGCAAAGCACTTCTTGCAGCAAAGGGTAATTATGATAATTTAATAATTTCAAATTTATTTTCAAATGCGTCGCCATATTCTAATATTTTACTTTTTGGCTAATAGTATGCATCAATTTCAAAAATAAATATCAACTTCCCAACTTACATTGACAGTTCTTCAAAAGTTCAACTTTTACAAACAAAACATTGTTTTAAAATAACTGCTGTGTCTGCAAACAGTTATGCTGAAAAATATTCAATAAATCATCATTCAACTTGAATGAATATCTGCCTTAATCTATACCCCAATAGCATAGTGTTACCTTCCCCAGGATCAACAATGTTAACACCTTGTTCCAATATTTCATCATTTCAAGACTTATGTTATTTTATTTGATCACTCTCTTTCAAAGAAAAAAAAAACGCACTCAAAATCTAACTTGTATAGCATGTATAAACATTTAAATTGTATAAAAAGCTTCATCAATTTTGCTTCACTTTAGAGGTGCATTTGGTGTAATTTTTTTTTTTTTTTTTTTTTGTGCCACAAAAGCTGACCAAATGCTACCATACTAGTATAGTTTCAAAAAGAATATATATCTGGGAGAAATACCATGAACATCAATTCATATTACCTAAAAAATTACATTCGAACATATATGTTCAGCTTACTTTTTGTGCTGCATAATTGGGGCAGACAGGCAGGTCAGAGGAGTCGGTCAATTTACAACAGTTACTTAAATTTTGCAGAGGGTGCTATACTTCAGCTTTTTTTTTTCTGACTGATTGGGTTTATCCCTTGGCATGTCCACTTTATTTGTGTCTTACAAGAAACTAGTATAAGTGGTTTATATGCATTACAGGGCAGCTTTAATGAGAACCTAACACAGATATGATACACCTTTTACTTGGATACACCCTGACTGGAAGCGAAAAAGCTCACTCTTCCCATAAGTCCCCATATTTATTGGTCCTCTTATGTCTTGAGGGTTGTTGTTTATGTTCACGTTGAGGGAAATTATCCCTGGGTTGCATGGGCATTCCCCGGGCTTCTGGCTCCACATGTTTAGGTTTCTCCTCATCCCAAAAATACCTGGTTGGTTTGGACATGTAACTCTGCTCTTGTCTCGGGGATTTATTGTGCCTGTCCCGGTTTCTTGCGCGTAATTCAGCATAAGTGACATTTTTCTCACTAAGGGGTGCTGCATCCATTTCCGAATTCTCTTGTAGAAAAGTAGTTCCGGTTTCGATATTTGGCCTCTGTGAATCATCCAAACCTGAAAAATGGGGCCGACGAGAGTCATCAAGGCCAAAGACATTAGAGGGGGCTTCATCTAGCAATTTTGGTCGAGTTCCTGCATCCGAATTGTCCACCACACCTCGTTGAAATTTAGATCTGGGAGGTGCAACCAAGTTACGTTCAATTAAGACAGTGTACAGGGACTTATTTTGTTGAATCGCTTCCCTAAGAGCGCTGTCACTAGGTAAATCTGGAGAGTTGAGGACATCTTTTCTGAACTGTTCTATTCCAATTATTACTGAGGACATATGGGCTAGGGAATACAAGCCTACAGAGGCCGCCACTGAGCCAACTGTAAGTACGGGACGTATAGATTTAAAATATCGATAGAGAAAGGGCAAGGAAGCTGCCACAATAGAGTTAGCACGCCCTTTGCTTCGCAGTTTCATTTCTGCCTCTCTTTGAACAGCAAGCTCCTCTGGTGTTAGGTATTGCTTCATATTCATCATCACTCTGGCTTCTTCTCTTCGATACTCTGGACCTCTGTCCTGACTGAGGCTATTCCAAGCCATTGTGCAGGTGTTCCTTTCTGCAACCTGAAATAAAAAATAATATGCAGAGTTTACCAAAACACACAAAGTTATTTTAACTACTAGTATATATATATATATATGTATAAAGCATGCATATAGTTAACAGAGTGTTCAACTATGCAGAGCATTTATACATAATTAAAAATAAATAAAAAAACTAAATATATACAAAAAATATTAAATAAATAAAAAAGAGACGTGTAAACCCCAACTCTGAGTTATATATATATATATATATATATATATATATATATATATATATTTACAGCATTTTCCAAAACACTTGTGTGTCCTTAAAATGCATCTTCTTGTTGTAGGATTGTTGTTGTTAACATGTCTTGTTAACATCAGTATGATAATAATATAAGAATAAAGATTTTTTTATATGCACATGTTAGAATTTTTCTGAATGCACTTTACTCAAACATGCCAATTGCTCAAAACTTTTAATGAGATTCCAGTTTTTGGTAGTTATGCACATTTCTGTCTGGTTGAGATAAGCTGTGATATTGTCACAAATTATTTAATATATTGATACAGGTTAGTTATTTACTTGTACTAGTAATAACATTTGTTTTTAACAATATACTATTTTTT